TAGAGACAGCAGGATACGGTAATGATTTGCTAGAGACAGCAGGATACGGTAATGATTTGCTGAAGACAGCAGGATACGGTAATGATTTGCTGAAGCCAGCAGGATACGGTAATGATTTGCTGAAGACAGCAGGATACGGTAATGATTTGCTGAAGACAGGCATAGGCGAGCTCACCTGCAAGGGGGCACCTTCTGCTGGCTTTCAGGGTCACATTTGGGTACCAGCACAGTGCATGCAAAGAACATGAGGTACTTGTAGCAGTTGGTCTGCACCAGAGCAGGAAACAGGGAGGACTCCCAGCTGACGGAGGTCTCCTTCTGGGTCTGGTGACCCAGGTAGTTGGGGAAACTCGTGGTGTTGTATGGCAGGTTCATACACAGCTCCAGTGTAATGGCCTCACAGCGGCCTGAAAGGACAGGGTGAGGGAGCCAGCAAAGCGGAACAGAATGCTGTACAGGACATGCCTCTGCCTTCATACTTACTGCAGTTTGCTGTGCTGCTGCGGCTGTCGCACGTGCCACTGGCAGGACATCCCTGTGTGCAGGCACTGGCGATGCAGCTCGTGCTTCCCGCACCACATGCACTGTGACCTGCAGGGAGCAACTCACAGCTCAGGCCAACATAGCGGCTGCCGTCAATGTTCCGAAGACAGACACTGTCTGTCTCAGCTGGGTGCTGCTCTGGACAAAAGCTTGTGCCAAATAAATGAAGGTAAACTGTAAACGGAGACCCGCTGAAGGGTAGCCTGCTCACCCTGCAGGTCGCTGCAGTTTTCCTCATCGCTGCCATCCTTACAGTCCTCGTCGCCGTCACATCTGAAGGCGCTGGGGATGCACTGGCCGTTGCGGCACTCTAGGAGGCCCTGGCTCTTGCAGGCTGTGAAAACGTTTCACGCGTTTTAAATCAAGGGCATGTGAGAAAGTTGAGCCTGATCGAAAGGAAAACATGGTAATCCTGAAAGATTCTCTTGCACAGTATAGTGTATCTTTTTAATTAATGCACTGACCAAAAGGGCTGGTTATTACATATAACTGACCTAGACTATGTAAAATTTCAAGAATTTCCCTCAAACATCAATAAAGTTTCATCTTCTTATATGTCGTTTTCTATAAATGCAATTTTGACAAGCATGTATAAAAATCAAAAAACAAATGCATAGAGAGAGACTTACGACAGGTAATGGATTTTGCATTGAACATTTTATGGAGAGATTATGGTTTACCACTACAGCCCTGTCAGTACTGTCCCTTTGCACAGGCTAGTGTCGAAAACCCAACTCACAGCAGTTGACTTCATCGCTCTTGTCCAAGCAGTCGTGGTCGCCATCGCACAGCCAGTCCCTGGTGATGCAGCGGCCATCTCCGCACCGATGCTCTCTATCGGGGTCACACACTGCAAAGTAACCCAGCAGGTGGGTGAGCGGAGCTGCATGCAAGGCAGCCGGACATAGGGGGCTCAGGCCTGACAGTCTGCCTTACAGCTCACACTACAGCTACTACAGCATGTTGTCTGAAGACGACTCAGCAGTGAAAGGACAGACATTTTAAATTTAAAACCAATAGGATACATTTATAAGTTTGGAAAGGCTCCTTAAAAATAACCAAGTACTTCTTACACAACAATGGGAAGTTGCTACTGATTTGATCTACCAGGCAAAAGCCCAAACAGGGCAAGTTCTTTTTGTGCAGAATATACTTGCATGTACGGATGGGCCCATTTTGGGCTCTATATGACAAAAGAGACCAAGATACCAGATGAGCAGACACAGAGTCACAGCCTCATGCCAGGATGAGCACTAAGTCAGGTTATAAGCATTAATGAAAAATAAAGAATTTTATTTTATTATATAATTTTAAAATATATTTTATTTCTTATCTCATAGTTCTGAATGGAGGGGGGCTGAATGTGCTGAGGTTCATTAATATACGTAATGGACAGAAGTTCTGGTTGCTTGCTTCCTGGGCCTGTCCCAGAATGGTATACAACTCCTGTTTTGACGGTTGCTGGTTCGCATCCCGTGGCCAGCACAGTAAACATATCACCCCTGGGCCCCTGAACAAGGCCCTTCATTCCCCCCAAACCGCTCCAGGAATGCCAGGTAAACGTCTGACTCTGTGCTTAGACCTCATCTGCATAAGTCTGTCTCTCCCTTAGGAGAAGACGACTGGGTTTTAAGGACACTCACCACACTGTTGCTCGTCGCTCAGATCCCCGCAGTCATCATAACCGTCACACACAAAGCTGGGACTGAGGCAGCGTCCCGTTCCACAGTGAAACTGCTCCCCACTGCAGCCTACGACCGGGGGGATGGACACTGGTTACACATACATTCACAGCTCAGTGCAAGAAAAAGCGCAGTCTGACTCATTCAATACGCAGCAAAGTCTGTCAATGTTAATTAGAAGCACATTCTACCAACATCAAGCTTCTCCTAGCAACCATGATAACTGTCAAAGACAACCATGTGAGAATATGTAAAATATGGAGTGATGACCAGCATGTGGGTCCATTTGTGATGTGCTTAATGGAAACTTCTGAAAATTCAACTTTATGCGGTGTTTGACAAAGGACTTTCTGACAATTTGACAAAGGACTTTCTGAATACAGCTGCTTTCACTGCCATATCTGATACCTGCAGCTAGGCACTCTGAAAGCTGGGAGTACATGCAGGTAGATATTCTGAAAGCTGGGAGTACCTGCAGGTAGATATTATGAAAGCTGGGAGTACCTGCAGGTAGATATTCTGAAAGCTGGGAGTACCTGCAGGTAGATATTCTGAAAGCTGGTTTGCTGCTCTGGTTTAACAAAGGTCCTGATGTCCCACCTCAGACTGCCAGGGTTCCAAACCCAGTGCTCCAAGTTTTCACCACTCAATGGAAACTCACCAAAGGCTTTATGGTCCTGTCAAGTGACTTTTGAGTGGAGCTTGCCTTGCCGGCATTGCACAGTGTAACAAGAAATAATTATAGTACCAAAGCTGACATTTAGAACAATGAATATAATTTTCAGCAAATACCAGCTATTGCTGAGCTGTCAAGCCAAATCTTCCCCTATTTGCACAAAGACTGCTCCAAACCCCACTGCTGCTCACTATATTTTTTCTTTGAATATTTGGAGAACCGTCAATAGCTGGATTTCACTGTACAGAGGCACGCATCACGTGGAGTGAACATTTTCAGCCACCTTCCCTAGTGAGTAAGAAGAATCTTACAGCTGTCTCGCTATGTGAGCTTGGCCCCATCTCGGCGGCGGCGACTTACGGCAGTCAGCTTCATCACTCCAGTCATCGCAGTCATTGTACCCATTACACACCAGTTTCCCAGGGACACAGATTCCAGTAGCACACAGGAAATTGTCTCGCCCACCACACAGAGCTATGTAAGCAGGCAGAAATGAACAGAAGCAGGAAAATGTCAGTCTGGCACCCTGAACCTATACAGGCAAACAAAAATGAAAATGCTGAATATGAGGCAGAGGGCATTATTCCGCATCATGCAGCATGCAACATAGGAAGTAGTGACACAGAGACAGAGAGAGCAAAGACAAACAGAGAGAGTAGAGACAGAGACATACAGAGAGAGCAGAGACA